ACAATAGTCTGTGCAGGACTTTAATCCCTGAAGTAAGGGAAACAAATGAGTCCTACAATTGCACTAGTTTACTGCCTAGACGCAATTTCCGTGCCTCAGTGTGTGTGGGAGGAGGGCATAAGGAGGCCCAGACAGAGCCCAGAGGTCTTTCAGAGTTGCAGAGAAGGACATCAGCATCTGGGGAGATCAAAGCAGCTAGAATGCTCAGGGAAGATTAAGAGTTGGAAGTAGTTGCTGGTAGAATAAAACTAGGGCAAGGGCAGTGGCCTAGTCAGGCTGTTTGACAGCCCAGTGTTTTATCATAATTTAAACACAAGTCAAGGTTTAGGCATTGCCCGAAACTACTGTCATGCCCTTCTAATTGTTGCCCTCTTCCTGCCCACCAAAGGCAGGCACCTTTCAGATAATATCCTGATTTTTATGATAATCACTGCCTTTTTTTCCTATAGAAGAGTTACAGCCTGATTATGTATCCCTGAGCGTTAAGTTTAGTTTTCCCCATTTTATCTATCTATATATATTTGTAGATAAAATGGGGAAAGCTAAACTTAACGCTCAGGGATACATATTCTATCTATATATATTTGTAGGAGCTCTGGTAGCATAGTGGCTAAGACACTTGCCTGCTAACCAGACGGCTGGCGGTTCAAACCCACCAGCCACTCCTCGGAAGGAAGGTTGGGCAATCCTACTTCCGTAGTGATACTGCCTCGGAAACCCAAGGAGGGGTCGCTATGAGTCGGGGCCGACTCGACGGCACATAACAACAACAACATATATATTTGTGTGTGTGTGTGTGTGTATACATATGTATGCATACATATAGGAGGAGCTCTGGTAGCGTAGTGCCTAAGGCACTTGACTGCAAACCAGAAGGCTGGCGGTTCAAACCCACCAGCCACTCCTTGGAAGGAAGGTTGGGCAATCTACTTTTGTAGTAATAACTGCCTCAGAAACCCAAGGAGGGGTTGGTATGAGTCAGATCCTACTTGACGGCACATAACAACAACAACAACATGTATACACATACATATATATATGTATTCCATACAGAAAAGTTCATGTACCCAAAATATGCTAAACTGTCACAAAAAGAAGCCACCATTATAACCATCACCCAGATCAAGAACTAGCTACCCAGAAGATCTCCCTCATTCTACTTCCACCCATTACCTCCCCCAAGGATTACTGACTTCTGACAACATAGATAACTTTTGCCTGCTTTTTTACTTCATATAGAAAGAATAATACAATATGTATTTTATGTCTGGCTTCTTTCACTCACTATTGCTTTGTGAGATTCATCCATATTGTGTATAATTGTAGTTTGTTCTTTTTTCATTGTTGTATATTATTCCATTGAGTTAATATACCACAATTCACTTCTCTATTTTGCTGTTAGGTTGTTTGCAATTGGAGATTGTTTAAAAAGCAAAACAAAACTTTTCTGAACATACTTTCTTGTGTCTTTTGGTGCACATGTGCAGATATTTCTGTGTCTAGGAAAATCATTGCCAACTTCTTGGATATGTATGTCAACATTAGTAGACAATTCTAAACTGTTTCTCAAGATAGTTTTATCACTTCATCCTGCCACCAGCAGAGTGTGAGAATGCCTGTTGCTTACGTCCTTACCAACACTTAGTATTGTTTTTCTGTTGAATTGTAGTCATCTTAATTATGTATTTTATTTTGCATTTCCCTAGTGGAGCTCTGGTAGCATAGTGCCTAAGACATTTGACTGCTAACCAGAGAGCTGGCAGTTCAAACACACTAGCCAGCCACTCCTCAGAAGATTGGGCAATTTACTTTCATAGAGAAGCTGCCTCAGAAACCCAAGGAGCGGTTGCTGTGAGTGGCATTTGACTCGATGGCAGTGAGTTTAGTTTAGTTTTTTGGTTTTGGTTTCAGTAACTAATGAGGTCAACTATCTTTTTTACATTTATTGGTTATTTGTGTATCTTTTCTTGTAGAGTTTCTATTCAAGCGTCTTGCCCATTGTTGTATTGGGTTGTCTCTGGAGATAAGCCTTTTGTCAATTAGCTAAAGGAGCCCTGGTGGCACAGCGGTTGAGCACTTAACTGCTAATGTTAAGTTCAGCAGATTGAACCCACCAACCTCTCTGTGGGAAAAAGATGTGTCGGTCTACTCTGTTCTACAGTGTTGCTATGAGTCGGAGTTCAACTCAATGGCAATGGGTTTGGTTTTTGGTTTTGGTCAATAATATATGTTGAAAATTGCCCTAACTCTGTGGCTTACTTTTTCACTCTTCTCATATTATTTAATGATGAACAGAAGTCATTAATTTTAATTTAATTCAGTATGTCATTCTTTTCCTTTGTAGTTAATGCTTTTTTTGTGTCCAGCATCCCCATGCTGAGATTACAAGTATTTTTCCTACACTGCCCTCTAAGAGCTCTTTTATTCTTTTACCTTCTATATTTAGACCAATGACACATTCAAATGAATTCATCCTGTACATTGCATTCTGTACAGTGTGAGATAGGGGTCAATATTCTTTTCTTTTTTTTTTTTTTAAGTCCAAATAGATATTCAATTGTCCCAATTTGTCCTCATGGGTTCACCCTTACTCTCCTCTACCTCATATCCACCTCTCCTTCCTGACTGCTGGTCAGACTTTCCTATACCGACTTAAGACCTGTGGTGGTTATGTTTTTGTGTCAACTTGGCTGGGCCTGGTTGAGTGGCTGGGCAGCTGGTGGTAGTTATTCCCCACAATGAGACTGGCAATCAACTCCATGGCGGGATCTACCACAAGCAGCTGAGTAGCTGCCTTTGTGATATGGTCTGCTTCCTGTATATAAGCAGAAGCTTTGAGAATGGTCTCTAGCCTATGGCACACTTGGACCCTGCATGTAGCCATGTCGCTGCTCAGTAGCCTGCTATGCTCTGCCGACCTTGGGACTTACAATGGACTTAAGTTAATGGCCTGCCTTGTGGTTTGGTTACATTGGGACTGTGCCTTTTTACTTGTCAACCTTGGGGCTTCTCAGCCTCAGCAGCCAGCAGCTGTCTGAGTGAAGAAATGCCTCTAGCTCCAGTGGGCCGGGAGCAGGAGGCAGAGCTGGACCCCAAAGTTGAGGGGCTTTCACCCAGCCCCTAGAGCCTGGCACTTTGAACTTGGACCAAAAGCCCCCAAATTGTAAGAATAAACTCCTGTTTGTTTCAGGCCATCCCATTTGGGGTATGTTTCTTGTCAGAGCGGCACTAGGGAACCAGAACAAGACCCAACATCAAATGCAGGGGGAACAGCTTGCTCTCATTTCTCGACCGTCTCCCTCATTTCCATAAAGTCTAAAACCTGTAACAAACCCCTTATTTTATCTCTGTCATTTATAGTGATTCTGCTTATCAACCCAAACCCTGACTAATATAAAACGCTTAAAAAACATTGTGGAAGGACAGGTATCAAGAATTATTTTAAAGTTGCCATAATTCAGATTTTCAGTCATCTCATGTGCATGGGAAAGCTGGATAATGAATAAGGAAGACTGAAGAAGAATTGATGTCTTTGAACTATGGTGTTGGTGAAGAATATTGAATATACCAGGGACTGCCAGAAGAATAAACATATCTGTCTTGCTGAAATACAGCCAGAATGTTCCTTTGAAAAGAGGATGTCAAGACTTGATCTCACATACTTCAGACACGTTACCAGGAGGGACCAGTCCCGAGAAGGACATCACATTTGGTGAAGTAGAGGGTGAGCGAAAAAGAGGAAGACCCTCAATGACATGGTTTGACACAGTGGCTGCCACAGTGGGCTCAAATGTAGCCACAATTGTGAGGACGGTGCCAGACTGGGCAGTGTTTTGTTGTGCATGGGGTTGCTATGAGTCAAAAGTGACTCAATGGCACCTAACGACAGCAACATAATTAAACCACAAAAACCCACGCAAGAATAAATACAGGCAGTCCCTGGAACTACAAACAAATTCTGTTCCTGAGCTGTCTTAAGTTGAATTTGTCAGATGTTTGTTTGCGTATATACTATAGAGTGTACGTTTCTATGCATATACAACTTTACAGAAACACTTCCAGATGCACTAAAACATCTTTGACATAATAACACAATAGTAATATAACGTTTTGATGCTTCGCAAAGTTTGTTACTATGACCATGGTATGTACCTTGAATTTTGAATATAATAGGCTTTCTGGAGGTTGGTTTGTAACTTTGGGTTGTATGTTAGTCGGATGTTCGTAACTCAGGGACTGCCTGTAGCCCAGATAAATAGAAGAGCATCAGAAATAGATCTGCACATATATGGACACGTGATTTAGCATTAAGTCCCATGGAAGGAATTCTGATGTGGCTCTGGCTCACTTCTGTGCAGTGGGAGAGGAAAGCCGCCAAAGCAGGAGGGTCTGTAGTGAGCCAAGCACATGATGCTAGTTTCTTTTCTTTTTAAAGTTTAATAACTTGGTGATTTTTTTCCCCTCCACTTAAAATCAGTGACTATATCAGAGGACCTCATCTGAAAAATCTAAAATCTTCATAAATGTTCTCTCCTGCCAATTACAAATGAGTTACATTTATTCTATACATGTTATCAACTTCTTAAAAAAAAAAAAATTTTTAAACCTTTCTGAAGAAGACTGGGAAGCCAGCCACTGTCACCCTCTGTGATAGGTTTGCCATTAAACTCGGCTTGTGTGTGCTCTGCTGGAGGCTTTGCAGAGGCTTTGCCTCTTTCAGCGTAAGCATCTGGTGAGATGCTTCTGTCTGTCCTTCCTGAGAGCCAAGACAAAGGGAGCCAGCCACCTTGAGTAGCTGGGACCCAACCACAGACCCTTCCCCACCCAAGAGCATGAGGAACTCTGCCCACCAGATCTCTCCCACCATGAAGAAGGACACTCACACCTGGCTCTGTGCCAAACTGTTTATTCTCAGCATAGGCTTGTGCCTGGATGAGTGGCAGGGGGACTTTCTGGGGAGTCCGTGACTGCCACAGTGACGCCTGGGGGGAATGGCCAGGTCAGCAGAGCCACAGGATGAGGACTGAGAAGGTGGGGACAGCCACAAGGCCTGGGATGAGAGGAGAGGAGGTTTTTGAGAGCCTCTGGGGGACGTGACTGGATGGCCACTTGTTCAGCTCCAGGGGATGCTCTCTCTGAAGCTGAGACCCAGGCAGAGGCAGGAGATGAGAGTGGCAGGACTTGCCCAGCAGCCTGTCTGGAAACTCGTCCTCTATAGGGCTCTGCTCGCTGTTTTCCTCTCTCACCTGCAGGTGGGTGTCGGCAGTCAGTGGCTCCCATAGCGCCCTCCTTACCTGCTCAAACCACTGGACCATTCTTGTTTTTCTTTTTTAATTTTTATTGTGATTCCGGTAAAAGTTTACGGAGCAAATTCATTTTCCATACAGCAGTTCATACACATTTTGTTTCATGACATTGACTGCAATCCCCACAACATAACAGCTCTACTTTCTCCCTGCAGTTACCTCTTCCCTGTGTCCTTTCTTATGCATTCCTGCCCCCCAAGCTATCTCCCTGTGCAGATAGCACCCTTCTGTTCTCCCGTGATTGATCGTTCTAAGGAGTGTATCTCTCTGGTGTAACCGTCCGCCCTGTATGCTTGTCTATTGTTTGGCTGGAAGCCACGGGAGTGAGTTAAATTCCAGAAGAGTAGCTAGTGGCCATAGTCTCAGAGGTTTCATCAGGCTGTATCAGACCAGTAAGCCTGTTTTTTTTTATGAGTTTGAGTTTTGTTCCATATTATTCTCTCACTCTATCCAGTATTTCCTGCACTGATCCCTTTCTGAGTGGACAAACCACTGAACCGTTCTTTTGACCAGCCCACCATACCTGTTCCACTTGTCTGAAGACCCTCAGCAAGTTTCCACGAAGGACACCCTGAAGCTCTTCCTCACTCCAGCCACGTCTCAGCAATGCCTCTATCAGCACTGGGTATGTGGATACATCCTCCAGCCCTTGAGGGAATCTGTGTGACCATCCAGTGGCCAGCTGTGGGATCTCAGCCTTGATCTTGGTCTAGGCTTCTACCCAATGTATCCAGTGCCCACTGTCCACCAGCTCTAGCTGGTGGGAAACGGAAGGCTTGGTGAAGCCATGTTCTTCACCCTACTGAATGCAACCTTGGAAGCTCCTTGAGGGCTGGGTTTTTGCATCTGCTGGTTGAACAGATAGTCAGCTGACAACAAGTAAGCTGAGCTGGGAGCATGTGCCAGGCATATGAGTTGTGTCTGGGAGGGGAGGAGTTCTTAGCAAGTGTGATGACCTGAAATGGGTCCACTGGGCCACAGCAGACACATGCAGAGCCGTGGAAACAGGCCCTGGGAGTAGGGAGATACCAAGTTGGCTGGATGGCTAGAGCCTGAGGATGGGAGGACCCAAGGATGGGAGACTGAGACTAAAAGTCTCTCTGCTACCCTAGCCTCAGACAAAACCCAAGGAAATACTCACCGGCCAGACCCATCGTAATTTCCACCAATCCCGATGAACTCAGATCCAATGACTGCCCTGATGTGGTCGAAGTGATCTAGAGGGGCAGGGGTTGGCTTAGTGGTGGGCAGCACGAGGCTGGAGTTTAGACCCTGGGACCAGCTGTTGTCTGGGGAAGCTCAGACCCTCACCAATTCTCCTGCCCACAGCACTCCAGGCAATGACAGTTGGCTCTATAAAGTTCATGGCTAGTCATGAGCTCTGAAGTGGCTGCAAGTTGGGCTCTGAACCTGGAGTGGACCTCATCACTGCCCCTATGGCCTTCTCCTTCCCAGGAGCCACCCTGCCTTTGGGTTCCTTGAGAATATAGTAGGGTCCTTCCTGTCCTGCTGAGAAATATGGGGGATGAGAGAGGTTCAAGAACTGGGAACAAAAATGAGTCCAGAGGCAGAGGCCTGAGGGGCCAGTTCATTAGCTCAAGGCAGGCACAAGGCCATCTGGGAGTCCTGGCAGAGATGCAGACTGTTAACTACTGGTGCCTGTGTCCAGTTGCCTCCCCACACCCATGAGCATCAACTCTGTGGCTCTAGATCTGGTGGCACCAAAGAGCTGTGTCTGCTGCCTCTAGGTTCTTGGGAGGTGTGCCTATTACCCAACAGGTACACCAGACTGAGGGCTCACCTGCCACAGTGGACACGTTGGCTAACAGGTTACACTGCAGAACCCCCATGGACAGCGTTACCATCACGATGCCCCCATTCTTCTTCTATAGGGATAGACAAATGGACACTCAGCTCTGCCCTTCCAGCCTAATTGTCCACCCTCCTGTGCTCTCAGGGTCCTGGTTTAACAGTGATCAGCACTGGCTTCAGGGGATGGAAGAGGCCTCACCTCTCTTGGTTTGTGGGGTCCCTGGGTGATGCTCATTTGGGCCTGAGTTTCAGAGATTGAGAAGCCTTGGGTTGAAGGGAGTGTGAGGCCTGGGCTGATAGCTTTGCTTGTCAAAAGTCTTTGAATGGAGCATGCCTAGCCCTGGGTTTGAGGGCTGGTGTTACTGCTCACCAGAAGCTGTAGAATGGCATCAGGAACATTCAGCAGACTGTTGCACACAGCTCTGGCAGCTGAGTGGGAGAAGATTACAGGAGCCTGTGACACCTCCAGGACCCGCCGCACCAAGGCATCTGATCCATAGGACAGGTCCACCATCATGCCCAGGCGGTTCATTTCCTTCACCACCTTCTGCAGGGATAGGTTGCGGGGGGAGGGGGGGCAGCATCAGGAGTGCACATATCCATAAGGAATGAGTAAGAAGGGATATGGAACCAGGGTCCTCACCTCACCAAAGTTGGTCAACCCGCTGATGTTTGTGTAGAAGTGATGTTTAAACTTGATGGAACTCTCTGCCCTGTAGGACAGCCAACAGAGGGCAATGTAGCAGGCCATACGTTGGCCACCAGAATCTGAGGGCTTGGAATCCCTCTGTCTGTCCATCCATTCCACCTCTAGAACAGGAGCAAGGACCCAGGGCCAGCTGCTTTCTGGGAGTATGAAGGACCAGCTGGCAGTCCAGCCTCTATCTTCCCCTCTCTGGTCAGGCCCATCACAGGGATGGGCAGTTTCCCCACCACACATTCGGCCATTCTGCCCTGGCCAGGTATTCTGCTCACCAGGGTGTGCTGCAGGTGAACGTGAGCGCCAGGTAGCGCACTCCAAGGAGATAGAAAGTACGCAGAACAGAGAGGCTGTTGTCCAGGGAGTGACCACCCTCCACGCCAATGAGGCAGGCTAGCTTCTGAGTGCTGTTCAGATCTGGAAAAGGGTGTGCCAAGTGGTTAAGGCCCAGGGCCAGAGCCACCAGACTGAGCCCCTGACCTTACCCCACCTGCCAGCCCACCTTCAGCTGAGGTCACAAGCTCCAGTTCAGAATAGGAGGCACACATGCGGTGAATGAGGTCAATCTGCTCCAGTGTGGTGCGCACGGCATCTTGGTCCTGGGTCTGGCATGGGACGGTGGCCGACCAGAACTGGGAGAAGGCCGGGAGGTCCATAGTGAGGCCAGAGAGTCTCCGAATCCCCAATCTGTTGTACCTGCCTCAGCTTCAGGACACCCATTGGGCCATGGCCTCAAGTTAGGCACTACATGACCCCATGGTGCCTTGATGACTACTAAGTTTATTCCCAATGGCTAAACGGTAGACTTCTGGCACATGATGGCTGCACTTTCTCCCTGGTCTGTCTGAATACTCCAAGGCCAATCCACCAAGTCACGTGTGGTTCCAGCAGCCCCCACTTTCTGTGTGTCCTAACCGTACCTAGATGCCTATATGTCTGACCTGTCTTGGTCTCCAAGGTCCCCACACTCACCAGTAGCTATGGACTGGCCTATGTAAGTTTATGTGGCCTCAACATTACCCAGCAGCCAGGCTGTGGCAACCTATGTGTCCCTGTGGTACCTGGGCGCCCACGAGGCCGTCCCTAAGCCTGTCCAAGCTGGTCTGGCCGCGGCTGAAATTGCGCAGATTAACATCCTGTAGCTTGTTCTGGAAGAGCTGTGCCAAAAGTAGAGGCAGGTTGTTGTGACTAGAGAGGTGTTAAGACAGAGTCAGAGTGGGGACACATCCTCCAGGTTGCAAACAGGACATGTCACCAGGCCTGTGCCTGTCCCACCCACCCGCATCCTGTCACTCAGGAGATAGGGAGATGTCCTGAAGCAAAGTTTCCAGGGGGATTCCACTAGGCATGAGGTAGTGGTAGGGAAAGGAGGGCATCAAGGGATGATGTGAGGGGGCCTCCTCACTAGCCCTGCACGCTCAGGGGCCCGCCACTGCCCAGGGTTACTTTCATGCCCCACCTGTTCCCACACTGCTCTACGCACCCGTCCACTAGCGGGAAGGCCCGCATGAGGGCCCGCGTTCGTTCTGTAAGGTCGGGGGCACTGGGGACTCCCGGTAGGGTCAAGGCGCAGGTCATGCGCGTGAGAGGAGGCGGCAGTAGCAAGAACAGCAGGCCCAGCAAATGCAGCCAGCCGGGAGCGCCAGGACCCTGGAGGCCCGGGGATTGCATGACAGAGCCGGGTAGGAGGGCGAGGGGCCAGTCGCGGGAGCCTGAGGCAAACGACAATCAGATTGCTACGATGGGGTCTCCACCTCAGATTCACGCGACTCAGCGGCTGGACTTCATGAGGAAGGATTTGGAGTCACAAGACCCTGCTGCGAAGGACGCGCGGGAAGCTGCGACGCCGCAAAGCACGGCCGCCAGGGGGCAGCATGGCTCTCTCGCCCTCAGCGCAGAGGGCGCCCCCGCGGGACCCGGCTGGCCCCTGCCACGTCCGCCCACTCGCCTACCTTGGTGGGCTCCCTCCACCGATGCCCCAGCTTCGACTAGGGAGAAAGGCCTCTCAGTGGCCACTACCCTCTCTGGATCTCTGCCTCCTTTGTGTCTTGGAGTTAAGGACCATATGCCTCCAACTTTTGCTCTCTCAGGAAGGGCAAAAAGAGAGACAGGGAGAGTTGATTCTGGTCTCTCAGAAGCCTGAGAGACCTGCTTCTGCCATGGATGCTTCATTTCAGTGACATTGAATAATACAGTGAATGATGACTTTGCTAATAGTTTATTGATTGACTGATTGATAATAGTTTATCAAAAATACAGAAGCATTGCACTTACAGCTGTTTCCTGTATTCATCTCAGGTGAAAGGAGAAGGCATAATGTTTAAAGTTAATTTCTTAAAATATTGCCAAAGTAATACATAAACACAGTTTTAAATGTCTCTTTAGGGTTGGATAGTAAACTAAATTCCCCTCCTCCTGATAACAAGCTAGGAAAGGTGAGCAAAATATAAAATATATCTTTTTTTTTTTTATGTTGTAAATATATATACATACACACACATACATCTTCTTGAAAGCATCAGAGAGTTTAGAAGATATTGAAGAAACTACTTGGAAAGGATCCGGGGAGGTTGGAAGCCCAAAGAAATGAGCCTGGTCTGATGGTGCTATTTCTTCCCCCAGGGATGTTACAGGGCTAGCGAAGCAGGGATTAATGTAGGATCCACCAAGGTAAGAGAGGACCCTGGTGAACATGCCTAGCTTTGAGTTGGAACACAAAGGCATAAAGCTTGGAGAAACAGTGAATCGGAATCAGTGCCCTGCATGCCCACAGCTGGGTGGTTTTGAAGCAATGATCTCTCAATTCTAGATCCACCCTTCTGTGCTCTGCTCTGTGATGCTGGGATTCAAAGTCTTGAAAACTGCATTCCTTAGATCCCTTTGCCAACTGGCTTCTGTTCTGCCAATAGGAGTTGTTGGGAGAAATTGAAAAGCAGGAGGCAGAAGGAGGGATGTCTTTCCTGTGTTTCCTGTTCTGTCTGTGCTACTCAAGGCGCGCCAGTTGGCTCCAGTATCCACCTTCTTTTGTGTCCGGACTGTGTTGATGAGGCTGCCAGGTCTCCTACCAACCAGCGTTGGGTGCCTGTACCACCAAACCCAGCTCCCTCAGCAGAGAAGGACTCTCCTGCCTGCTTCCATGTTGATTTTCCAGAAATAGTTGTGCCTGCACGACTTGGGGGAAGTTTGTGAGGTGTCTACGGCTCCACAGTGACATCTGCCAGGACCGACTGGTCACCATACCCACAGGATGAGGACTGGGAGGGTGGCAAATACTGTGAGGCCTGGGGCCTTGCTGGGGGAGGATGCCGAGATGGGAGTCTGGAGTGTTGGCGTCACAGTTGGTTTCTGGTCTGGAACCAGATTCTGTCTCTGATGCAGACGTGGAAGGACAGAGCGGCAAGAGCTGCCCAGCTGCTCGTCTGGAAACTCATCCTCCAAGGGGCTTTGCCACTTTTTATCCTCCCGCACCTGGAGGGGGCAGTCGGCGGTCAGCAGCTCCCACCGCGCTGCCACCTGTTCCTGCTCCGACCCTCAAGATGCCCCCCGCCCAGCGTGGCATACCTGTTCCACCTGTCTGAAGACTCGCAGCAGGTTCTTGCGAAGGATGCCCTGAAGCTCCTCCTCACTCCAGCCACGTCTCAGCAACTCCTCTATCAGCACCGGGTATGTGGACACGTCCTCCAGTCCCTGAGGGAATCTGTCAGGCCAGCCGTCTGGTCTCAGCCCTGGGCCTGTGGCCAGCCCTGATCCAGAGCCACAGCCCTGTGTGCCCAGGGCCCACTGAACCCCATTCCTGGTCAGATATGGGAAATGGAGACTCGGAGGGAGTAGGTGACTAGCCCCGCTCTCCATCCTTCAGCCGAGGCCTCAAAGCCTCCTTGAATATTTGTCAACTCATTGAAGCACACTATTAAGATCTATGCTCTTCACTGAATGCAAATTTTTCTTCCATCAAGAAGAAGAAAAGCAAAAAAATAAAAGGGGAGACCAGGTTTGCTGGTCTCATAGAGCCTGGTGGAACCACTGAGACTACGGCCCCTAGCTGCCCTTCGGGTCTGGAATTGAACCCACACCTGTGGCTTCCAGCCAAACAAAAGACAGGCATATGAGTTGAACATGTACCTGAGGTGGATACACTCCTTGGAGAGAACAATCACGGGAGAAAGAAGGGCTGTTTATGCACAGGGAGACAGCTCAGGGGGGCAGGAGTGCATGGAGGGATGGACACAGGGAAGAGGTGACTGTCGGGAGGAAGTGGGAGGGGAGCTGTTGCATTGCGGTAAATTGTGGCCAATGTCATGAGACAAAGTGTATGTGAACTGCTGTATGGCAAGTGAATTTGCTCTGTAAATTTTCAACCAAATCACAATTTAAAAAAAAAAAAAGAAAAGAAAAGGTTCTGAGGAATTGGGGTGACTCCTTCGAGCACAGGCCCAGTAGCATGCAGGGAGAATGCTCCACCCACAAAGATCTTACTGACTGTCTGCTTGGGTTGAGTGTGAGTGCACACACTGGGCAGATGACCTCTGTCTGGTGGCAGTGGGGACCTAGGGCTTAGCCAAATATGATGATCTGGCATGGGGCCACTGGCCTTTAGGAGAGATGGGAGATCCCAGGAAATCCACCTTGGGAGTGGGAAGATGCTAGGTAGACCCAGTAGACTTGGGGCTGTGACCAAGGCCTAGAGGTCGTGAGGACCACAGGGGGCATGGTGGCTGTGAAGGCCCCACAGCTGCACACCCAGCCCCAGAGAAACCCCAGGGAAGCACTCACTGGCCAGCCCCATCATAATCGCTGCCAATCCCAATGAACTTGGATCCAGTGACTGTTCTGATGTGGTCGAAGTGATCTGGGGGGATGGAGGGTCAGCAGTGTGGGCTTCTGGAGTAGGCATAGGGTAGGGCCCAGGGGGTAGGTTACTCAGGCTAAACCCTTCATGCCCTGGCACCCAGTGTGGCAACTTGAGGGCCCTGATGTCTGGCCTGAACTGATCCCAATTGGCTCTAGTTTGGACTTCAGGTCGAGAGTGGACCCCAGAGCCACCCCATGGGCTGTTCTCCATCCAGGATTCACTCTCCCTCTGATTCCCTTGAGAACCTGATGGGGACCCCCTCTAGGGATACACAGGGTAAGCAAGGGACAAAGAGCAAAACTGTTAATGACCCCTGGAGACCCAAGAGGCTGCCTAGTCCGTTGGAGGCAGGGACGAGGCAATTTGGGAGCCCCTGCAGTGGAGCATATGGTCAGCATGTGGCTTCTACGTCTCACCATCTCCCTTATGCACGTCACTCTCAGAGCCCCAAGACCCCATCTGTGGTCCCAGAGTACATGTGCTTCAGTTTGGATTTTCAAGTTCAAGTCAGAGCTATTCGGAGAACCCAGGGTGGGGCTCACCTGCCACGGTGGACACGTTGGCTAGCAGGTTGCACTGCAGCACTCCCATGGACAAGGACACCATCACGATGCCACCATTCTTCTTCTACAGAGGTGGACAAATGGACATTCAACTTGGCCCTGCTCTGGACCCCTGGAAGGAGCGTGTTCAGCCCTGACTTTGAGGGTAGAGACTTCGTTTCTCTGGGTTTGTGTGAATGGGGAAGTCTCAGCCCTGGTTTGGAGGATGGTGGTGTCTTGGCCCCAGGTTTGAGAGTCAAGGAGTATTTACCACCTAGAATCCTTGGGTGAAGAGTTCAAAGGCAGTGGACTGTGGGTTTGTAGGCCAGAAGGTGTTCAGCTTCAGATTTGAGAAAGTTGAGGAGGCAGGGGCTTATGTTCTAGGTCTCCTGGTTTGAACCTCTTGCTGTAGGTTTGAGGCCAGGGCTGTCTCTCACCAAAAGCTGCAGAATGTCATCAGGAATGTTCCGAGCGTTCTCGCACACACCCCGGGCAGCTGAGTGGGAGAAGATCACAGGTGCCTGTGACACTTCCAGGGCCCGCCGTGCCACAGCGTCCGAGACATGGGACAAGTCCACCATCATGCCCAGGCGGTTCATTTCTGCCACTACCTTCTGCAGGGACAGGTTAGGGGAGGACCTCAGGGATGCTCATGTGTGCACATACCCGTAGGGAACAGGTGGGGTGTGTGTACTCATGTAGGGCAGGGTGTGGAACCAGGCTCCTCACCTCACCAAAGCTGGTCAGTCCCCTGACGTTGTTGTAGAAGGGGTGGATGCCCTTAGTTGAGCTCTCTGCCCTGCAGGATGGCCAGGATGCAGTCTGACTAGTGGCCACAGTCTGACTAGTGGCCACAAGAGCCCAGAGCCCTGCCAGACTATCCCTATAGCCCCATGGAGCCAGAGGAAGGACCTGGGCTGAGCTGTGCCTTGCTGTTCAGAGGTCCCTACTAAGGGCACTGTCTTGCTGTATGGATCCCAGCTCCCCTTCCCAATTTCAGGGTGAGTGCCAGATCCCAGGGAGGACACTTGACCTGAGTCCTCAGTGTGATCTCAGTCAGACTCCTGCCTCAGTGGGCCCACATCAACAGCACTGTGCTTACCAGGGTGTGTTGCAGGTGTGGGTGAGCGTCAGGTAGCGTACTCCCAGCACGTAAAAGGTACGCAAGACGGAGAGGCTACTGTCCAGAGAGTGGCCACCCTCCACGCCAATGAGGCAGGCCAACTTCTGGGTGTTGTTCAGAGCTGGGGGTAGGTAGGTGAATTGATCACTTTCGGGGGCTGCCGTAGCTCCGTGGAGTCCCTAACACCCCCCGGCAGCTCAGCTACCTTTAACGGAGGTCACAAGCTCCAGCTCAGAATAGGAGGTGCACATGCGGTGGATGAGGTCAATCTGCTCAAGGGTGAGGCGCACAGCGTCCTGTCCTTGGGTTTGGCACGGGACGTAGGCGGACCAGAACTGGGAGAAAAGGCTAGGGGTGGGCCCCGGCAGGGAGAAGCTGCCTTGGAGCTCACTAAGCTTCTGAGAGCACCCAGTACCCAGTGGTCTTGGAGGACACATGAGAAGCGCTGCTTGTTCTGTGATACCTTGATGCCGACCCAGCTGGCCCACTTTATCCTCAGCATCCCCCAGCATCCATTTCATGGCATTTTTTGTGTCACTAGGGGAGCTCTGGTAGCATAGTGCCTAAGGCACTTGACTGCTAACCAGGAGGCTGGCGGTTCAAACCCACCAGCCACTCCTTGGAAGGAAGATGGGGCAATCTACTTCCGTAGTGATACTGCCTCAGAAACCCAAGGAGGGGTTGCTATGAGTTGGGTGTGACTCGACAGCACATAACAACAACAACAACATGGGAGCTCTGGTGGCATAGTGCCTAACTGCTAACAAGAAAGCTGCAGTTCAGAACTACTAGCCACTTCTTGGAAGGAAGACTGGGTAATCTACTTACATAGAGATACTGCCTTGGAAACCCAAGGAGGGGTCACTATGAGTTGGAATTGATTCGATGACAGTGATTTTTTTTTTTTTTTTTTTATGGTAACTGAGTTCCCATGTCACTAACCTGTTTGGTCTCTGGGCCCCTGCACTCCCCATTATACCCCAGCAGCCATGTCATGGCACCCTGAGTGACTTTGCGGTACCTGGGCGCCCACAAGGCCATCTCTAAGCCTGTCCAGACTGGTCTGGCTGCGTGTGAAATTGCGCAGGTCTACATCCTGAAGTCTGTTCTGGTGAAGTAGCCTCAGGATCAAGGGTAGGTCATTGTGGCTGAAGGGATGTCAAGGCAGGACCAGGTTAGGGACATGTGGGTGGGCCTCTTAGGACTTCAGCTCAGGTAGAACATGTCACAAGGACTGGGTGTCAAAGACCCACTCCACATTGTCACAAAGACTGTACACCCACCCCTGAGGCCCAACCAGGAGTAGGGGGGAGAATCCAGTAGGGGGTGACAGTAGAGAAAGTATGGGGAGGAGAGCCCAGAGGTGATGTGAGGGTGCCTTCTCACTAGTCCTGCACAGTCAGGGCCCCCTCCCTGACTAGGGGTGTCTTCAGTCCCCACCTGCCCCCACACTGCAGCTACGCACCCATCCACGAGTGGGAAAGCCTGCATCAGGGCCCTTGTGCGCTCTCGAAGGCTGGGGGCGCTGGGAGCGCCCAGAGGCGTGGTCGGGACGCTGACGGTGCCCAGCGGGCTCTGGGTGCAGGTTATGGGTGCCGGATGCCAGGGCAGCAGCAGGAGTAGCAGGTGCATCACTCCAAGGGCGCTACGGCCCTCGAAGCCCACGGGCCACATGATGTACAGGGCCTGGCAGGCGGGCAGGGGCCCCGTCGCGGGAGGCTGAGAGGGGCAAGCGAAGGACAGAGGGCGACGATGGGGTCCCGACCCTCGATTCAGCCTCTCAAGAAAGGAGCTGCGCGAAGAATCGCGACACCGCGCAGCGCGACCGCCAGGGGGCAGCACAGTCCGCCCGACCCCAGCCTAGAGGGCAGCCCTTCCGACCGGATTTAGCCTTGGCCCTAGTGTCCCTGCTCTACTCACCTTCCTTGGTGGCAGCCCTCCGTCCCTGCTCCTGTCCTCGCTCCGACAGGTGACTCTCTCCTTCTGTCCCCAAGCTTGCACTTTTAGTCAGTGGCCCTTTTCCCTGTGTTATCTCCCGAACACATTATGACTCCCTCTGCCTGTAGCCAGCGCCTGCAGGTGTGTCTGGTCACAGCGCCCTGGGCTCCAGGTGCCCCCAGAACTGGGCCACGTGGAGGTGGGGGTAGCAGAAGAGATAGTCACTGGGAGCAGGGGTTAACCTGATGGACTCGAATCACAGAGGTCCTCTCTGCCCCTGACCTCGTGACGGAGTACCCAGACTTTTCTCTCCCCTCTCTTATCACCATGGTCAAGTGTCCATCCCAGGGGGATCCAAGCCAGGAATGGGACTGGTGAGGAGCACCTCTCCCCATCTGTCCCCCATTCAGCCTCAGGAAAGGGCACCCTTCTGAGGAGATGCTCCACCTTCCCAGAGACATTTGGGATGAGAACTGGGCAAGCATTTGGGGAGGGTCAGGGAATAGTCACTCAACAGAGCAGAAACTCAGACAGCTGGCTATTTGGGGGCAAGGAAATGAGGTCATGTCCAGGGTGGCAGAGCCCCCGCCCCAGCCCCTTCCTCCCAGAGTTGCTGGCTTACCTGCAGGCCAGGATCCCTCCTACCTCAGGGTTCGAAGCCCTGGCAGGTAAAACCGTCTATGTCCTCGGGAAAGACCTGGCTTCTGTGGCTACACCCACCTTATCTCCTGGCTGTTGCTCTCTCAGAAACCTCCAGGGCTTAGTTCCCTTCCTTGCTGGGGAGGCCCCACCCCATTCCTGGCCGTCAGCCCTCACCCTAGCTGCCTCCTCAGAAACCTCCCCTCCTTACCCACCACGTACTCACTGGGACGGGCCTCCTCACCCAGGCTCATCCAAGTGGCTCCAGGGTCTGTGCCCAGACTCCTTCATCCCTAGCATCTGCCCCTCAGCCTCTCGACATTTTGCCCTGAACCTTGGCGCCCGTTGTTCCACCTCTGAAGCCTTTCTCAGGTGGCAAACTGAGCAGCACATGGGTAGAGACCTAAGTCTAGAGACTGGACTCCAGAGAAGCTTCCCCCCACAATCAAAAGAGCACAACACTTGCAAAGGGACAGGAAGTGCTGGGCAACCAGGAGAGGAAGCATTCCCTGCTGGGCTGTATCTGCTTTTGCAGCCCATGTTGCCAGTGCCTGCTGGCCAGGAAGAAGGGAAATCAAAGGCGTGCGGGAGGTGGGTTGGCTCCCATGTATGGCAGCTGGACGGTCTCTAGGTGGGTTCACCACACAGTGTGAGTCCCCTAGGGCTCTCCCTGAGAAAACAGCAGCAACAGGTGTGTCCTTGCCCAGGGTGGCTCAGGACCCCTGACCCAGGCCTGGCTCCCTTCTTGTCCCCCCACCCCCCACCACTGCAACAGCTCCCTACACCCACCAGCACAGCTAAGTGGAGAGAGGAGCAAGCTTTTGGATTGGCTGGTCTCCAGGGCAAGGATGTGAGTTCAGGGGATGAATAGCTTGCCTGTTTCACTCCTGATAGCCCCAGGAAGTAGGAGGGGTTGTGAAGAATGGGGAAGAGGTGGGCAGGAAGTCCCAACAAATAAATAGCAGCTACTGGCAGAGGGGTGGGCAAGGGGAATGCTGATTTTTAAGCTTTTCTTCAGGGGCCTGATGTCCAGCACTATAAGCCACGGGAAAACTAGCAGAGGCAGGCTCAGCTGAGCCAGCAAAGGTGAGCCCTGTCTCTGGAGAAGATCAGCCAGGCAGCAAAATCATCCAGGATGTTTAACTTCGGTCCTCAGCCAGGCTAGAACTGCTGACCACATCCTTGAAGTGTCTACACAAAGCGATCCAAGAAATGCCAAGCACGGTTAGCCCCTACGTACTCAGGGATGTGTACCCGCTCATGCCCAAAGGAGAAGTCAGTTATAGCCAATAGGATGGCTTGTTCTCCACTGAGGAAGCCCCCGTGGTGCAGTGGTTAAGAGCTCGGCTAGTAACTGAAAGATTGGTGGTTTCAACCCGCCAGCTGCTCTGTGGGAGAAAGAGGTGGCAGTCTGTTTCTGTAAAGATTACGGCCTTGGAAACCCTATGGGCAGTTCTACTCTGTCCTACAGGGTCACTCTGAGTCAGAATTGACTCAGTGGCAATGGGTTTTGTTTTTGGTCTCCTCCAACTTACCATCACTGGAGGCCATCTCTGTGTCCTGCCCCATGCAAAGGAAAGAACCAGATGAGGCAAGCCTTGTCCCCTCAGAGCTGCCAGTGGCACTGTGTCAGTGATACAGAGCTGGACATGTGGCCATTTGGAGGCAAAGCTGGACAAGTTATCCAGGTGCTGGCAGTGGGCAGACGTGGAAACAGGTAGAGGCAGGGACCCTCAGGGCCCAGTTCCAGAGCTGCCCTGAGGGCCGGAGCGCCAGCTCAGCTGCTTCTACCCCTCTCCTGCCCCATCCTCACCCACGGCATCTCCAAACCCTGCTGGTTCAACCTCCAACCATCTCCCAGGTGCGGCATCTCCAAACCCTGCTGGTTCAACCTCCAACCATCTCCCAGGTGCGTCTCCTCTCCTTCCTTTCCCTCGTCCCCAGCACAGGCCATCTTCACACCTTCCTATCTTATCTTCTCTTGGCTGCTCATTTCCATTGCCTCTTTTCAAAAATCTAAGGCCATTCACATGCTTAAAGTTCTTCATGGCTTCCTGCTGCTCTTAGGATAAACCAAATTCCCTTCTTTGGCTTTCAAGTCCTAGGGAGTCTGTTCCCACTGGCCTCTGGGGCCTTAGCAAATAGCACAGGCCCCTCGTGCTCCCAGAGGGGTGGTGTAGTGCCTAAGGTATTTGACTGCTAACCAGAAGGCTGGCGGTTCAAACCCACCAGCCACTCCTCAGAAGGAACATAGGGCAATCTATTCTATAGAGATACTGCCTCAGAAACCCAAAGAGAGATCGCTGTGAGTTGGATTTGACTCGATGGCACTGAGTGACTCTCATGCTCTGAACTTTGGCCACACCAGCCAAGCGGCCTACTGCCACAGGACCTTGGCATGTGCTGTCCCCTCAGCCTCCAACTGGTGGGGCTGTTGAGGCAGGGCCAAGACAGAGACTCTTGTTGTCAGGAGGGGTGGGTGAACGAGCAGCTGTTTCGTCTAATTACTTATGCAGTGTTTACATAAATGAAGACCCACAAGAAGAGGCAGTGGGACAAACAAACAATATTCTAGTGGCAGAGCCGAGCCTCCTCTAGCGCACACCTGCAGTGAACTGCACGAATATGTAGGGACATTAGAAGGCAGGCTGTTATCACTGTATAGGCCCCTCACACGCTCAGAGTGCGGGGCTGTGGCCATCCCATGCTGGGCCTTGGTCCTGGAGACTTGGCCTGCCCGTTTCTTTCTGGGTGTTCTTTTGGTTCTGCTCACATGACAGACTGTCCCAGTCAAATTCCGAGAAATTACAGTCTCCTCGGCCAGAAGGCAGCCTGGCTACCACAGACATGCATTCTCCAATCATAGTGCTGAGGCCACCCTTTCTCAAGTATCAAATAGCTAGCACATTTTTCCTCAAAAGGCAGCCATGGTTTACAAGAGACATGCCAAGAGAAGTGCAGTGACGATTAGCCTGTCTCTGTTTACGGCTTTCACCTAGCCTTCTCCCCACCCCCACCTTTCTCTTCTGCACCCTCAGCTGCTTCTCTGTCAGCCACTCCTGGGGATGTGTGATGGCTAGGGTCCTGTCTACACAGCTCAGCACCTCTTTCAGGGGTGTCCTGATTTGTGGAGGAGCCGGTACACAAGGTCTCCAGAAGCTTAGTGTGCCTCAAGTGTCTGGGGACCAAATGTTCTGGTGACTCGGGCGTGAGGCCCACAAGGGTTGCCTCACATGCTGTCCCAAGTTCCTGAGGTAGTGTTATCAGACAGGGTGAGGCTGGAGGAGTCTGGGAAGCAACAACTGGACCCAGAAAGGCCCTTGAGGGTGACCTTGGGTTTTACACAGCATCCCCTGAACTGTGAAGCTCAGTTGCCAAGTAAGAGGGTCATGTCATGAAGAATCTGCCCAATCCAAACCCTCTCTGGTGAGTTACCCTTTTTAAAAATAGGGATATGGTCAAAATTTTCCACTCTCTCAGGTTCAGTTTTGCTGGGACCTCTTCTTCCTCCTCTTAGCAGCAGTCTTAGTGGCTGTGCCCTGCTGAAGCTGGAAGGTGAATGCAACGAGGCCGTGACCACGATACCGGCGCCCATTACCAGTCCCACACATAATCAGGGCATGGTATTCCAGCCTCTGACAGCATAGCCACACACGAGTGCTCAACCCACATCCGTAGCAGGCTGCTGCCTTCCCTTCCCTCACGGAACTAGTGTATTGGAGCCCCAATTCTGAAGCACTTGGGTTTGTGGAAGACTGAGGTCTACAGTGGGAGCCCTAACTCCATTCTAAGTCTCCACGTAAGTTCTGAAAGCAGATGAACTCTCCCTAACCTTCAACATTGTGGCCACGCACAGACAAGTTCCCGGACAATCCCAGGGAGGGGCAGTTTGCGGGAAGAGTGTGTTTAAAAAGTAGATTATACTCCCACAAAGAACGAGGGAATTTGCTTGCATGTGTCCTTTTCTAAGTTGAATTAAGGTTGGGGCCCTGATACTGTTTGGTAGCCACCTTGTGGCTAAGACTCAGGAGCATGGTCATGAGTCATATGGGGACCACCACCTGGCTGGGTAGTCAAGGCCCATGGTCCTTTCCCCACTTCTGCAGTCCCGTCTGCAACAGTGATGACTCAACCTGCCACCAATCAGGATTTTGTGATGGTTCCCTTTGTATAGGACCGAAAAACCAAACTCACTGCCATCGAGTCGATTCTGACTCACAGTGACCCCCGTTGGGTTTCCAAGGTGGTAAATCTTTACGGAAGTAGATTGCCCAGTCTTCCTTGTGCAGAGTGCCTGGTGGGTTTGAACTGCCAACCTTTTGGTTAGCAGTCGAATGCCTTAAGCACTATGCCACCAGAGCTCCCATCCAGAAACCATACTGAGTCCAAATCCAGCACACAGGGCAGGAGGATCCCTGCATTCTGGAGTAGCTAGTGGAGATAACAGGACTGAGAGTCTGTAGAGAAATAGACTCAGCCTCCTGTTAACCTGGGCTCTCTGGGACTCAGGTTCAACCCACCCAGAGTCTTTGTGTCTTTTGGCTCTGTAGGCCCTGACGGGACTCATCCTGAAGCCAGACTTACAGAGGCTGGCTGTCAGCTACTTGGCAAAGTACTCCCAGTCTACTTCAGCTCCTACTCTCTTACCTGTTCACTGCCAGGGCTGCAGGATTGGTCTGGACTGGCTTTGTCTTCATGGGACCTATGGAAGCCATCTGAGGAAACCAATAGTGGCAGGGAGAGTAGCCCACTGGCCTTTGGAACAGAACCCTCCCTGGACCTGGCTGGGACAGAAAACAGGTATGGGTGCAAGAAGACCAATTGCTGGGAAGGCATAGGGTCAGTGTCAGTGATGCCCTTCTGGCATTAGACAGGGGATCCTTGGACCCCTCCGCTTCCGGCTTCTGTCTCTCTCACCAGTAAAGGCCTCAAGTTCCTTCCATCCACCCATCCGTTCCTCCAGACATCCTTTACTGATCACCCACTGGGTGGTGGCCCTTTGCTGGGAGAGAGCAGTAGTACCTAGTACCGTGGCGACGAGCCACCAGTTACCACACGTGCAGGCATTAGCATAGAGAAGGGGGAGCTGGGGGGGCACCCAGTGCGGGAAGTCACCCTGGCCAGACAAACATCTCTTCCTGGCATGCGATTTCTCATTCAGTCTCAAGTTCAGACGCTGTCTCTTGCTCAGTCTTGCCTGCTCATCTCTGAGGCCTGTCGGACCTGTCTTCTGGCAGCACACCCTGCCCCAGCACCCTTCGTGCTTCCGGCTTTTATGCAGGATGCCCGCCCTCCCCTGCCTGATTTCCCAGGCGTCCACAGCCTAGTTACCCTATGAGCTGACCACCTGAGCCCTTACCCACTGCAGACCTGGCAGAACGTCAGGTGGCAGCTGAGCAGCTTTTATTTTTATTTGTTAACTTTTTATTAGGGGAAAATTCCAAACACAAAACAGTAGAGAACAATCTATTGAATCCCCATCACCAGCTTCAACAGTTATCAACTGGTAATCTTGTTTCACTTATACCCTCACCTATTGCCTTCTTCAGAATATTTTAAAACGAATCACAACTAGCACTTGACCCATCATAAGTATTTAAGCATGTGTCTTTAAAAGGATTCACATTCATAAAGTTACCAGATCATTATCACAAGTGAAGAAGTTAACACTTTCACTTCCTTACTACCGTGTCTATTATGTTCACATATGCCTGACTGCCTAATTTTTTTCAGTTGATTTGAATTATAGACAAGAGCCCCACATTGCTTGCTTTGTTGTGTCTCTTACTTTGTAGGTTCCTCTTCCTTTCTTACTTGCAATTTATTTGTGAAAGAAAATCACGTCCTTTGTCCTATAGAGTCTTCTATGTCTCGGAATTTGCGGATTGCATCCCCATGCTGTCACTGAACACGTTCCTCTGTGTCTTGTATTTTCTGCTAACTGGTAATTATGAGACGCTTTTTAAATTGCAGATTTCCCAGTCCTATCCTAAAAACTTGGTAGGAATGGCATGGGTGTTGGGGAATTCCATTTTTCACAAGACCTCCTGCTCCCCGCCCCCCAGGTGAGTCTTCTCTGCTAGCTGCTCCCCCATCCCCACTTCCCAGGACCAACTGTTCCCTTAGCTGCGAGACATTCCGTGGTAACAGCCAGTGCCTCCCTGCTGGCACATCACTGTCAAGGTGGTCTTCTGAACATCTGTATCAGACCACTTCTCTGCCCTGTTCAATTCCCTTCCAGCTTTCCCAACACACTTAGTACAAGGCCCACTATGGCCTGGCTCATGCCTACTTCCCCAACCACACCTTTCCTTCTTCTCTCTCAATCATTCCGCAACCACACTGGCCTTTTTTTTGTTGGTCCTAAAATGCTATTCCCACCTCAGAGTCCTACCCTTGCCATCTCATCCATGGGAAACGTTCTGCCACCCGCTCTTCACGTGGCTCACATCTCTGCTGGAACACTATGTCGTCTCCCCTGACTACCTTGAGTACCGTAGTAGCAGTAATGGGTACATCTGTGTAATAGGAATAGATGTAAGAGAAACATCTCTGGAGAGCTGCCACCTCTGTGGCATTAATGGAAACAGTTAATAGGTACCCATTACATATCAGCTCCTGCCAGCTGCTTGGGATCTATTGGTGAAAGAGTGCATTGAAGCACCTCTCCTCAAGCCACCACAAATAAGGAAATAAGAGAGTTTCAGGTAGTTGTAATTGCTCTAAAGAGAAGCAAAGCAGGATAAGAACATAGAGTGATGGAGGCCACTAGGGTACACAAGGAGTATTTGGTAAGCTCTGGTGGTGTAGTACCTAAGGCACTTGACTGCTAACCAGAAGGCTGGCGGTTCAAACCCACTCACCACTCCTTGGAAGGAAGACTGGGCAATCTACTTCTGTAGAGATTGTTGTTATGTACTGTCAAGTGGGACCCGACTCATAGCGACCCCTCCTTGGGTTTCTGAGGCAGTATCATTACAGAAGTAGATTGCCCCATCTTCCTTCCGAGGAGTGGCTGGTGGGTTTGAACTGCCAGCCTTCTGGTTAGCAGTCAAGTGCCTTAGGCACTATGCTACCAGAGCTCCTCCTTCTGTAGAGATACCGCCTCGAAAACCCAAGGAGGGGTTGCTATGAGTCAGGATCAACTCAACAGCAATGAGTTAAATATTTGTTAAGTGGATGGATGGATGGATGGATGAATAGACAGAACAGTATCTTCTCAGTCCTGTCCTTCCTCTCCTCTCTCACACACTCTCTCTCATCAGTCGCTCCTTGTCTTAAAGAACCTGCCTGTGTCCTGCCCCGGTTTGTACAAGCAGCAGTGAGGAAGCCATGATGAAGCTGCTCCCAAAGGCCATTCTTGGAGGAAGAAGGTCTTTCATGACCAGGTCTCCCATGTGGAGATGTACGTCCAGGAACAAGGAAGCTTGGGGCCTGGTCTTAGAAAGGCTGGATTTCAATAATAATAATAATAAAAAACTGTTACAGAACATCATTTTATTGAGCACTTGGGACCCCACAGGGGCCAGAAAGGGCTGGAAAGTAAAGGAGCGTGTGGACCTCAGGGAGGTGCTGCTCAACTCTCAGCCTCTCCCTGCTCTAGGCAGCAGGTCTCCCTATCTTGCCTCCTGAGACCCCAGATGGGAGGCTCCTTAGGTAGCTGTAGATTGTTTCTTCTTGGTCAACGCCAGTTTCAGAAGCCCAGCCCCTTCTGGTTTCTGCTGGCGGCCGCTGGCAATGTCTCAGAGCAGAAACCCCAGCTAGGCCACTGTCTACCCTCCCTTTGCACCTGGTTCTCCTTTGTTTAGCAGAGAAACATCAAGTTTTCTCTCAGACCAGCTTCAGCCTGACATGTTCAAACCTCAGCTTCTGAGGCTCCTTGCCAATGGCCGGATGGTACGGAAGGGGCTCCGGGCTGGGGAAAGCCCAAGCAGAACAGCTCAGGTTCTCCTCCAGTGCTGGGCAGTGGCAGTCAAGAAGAGGTACCAGCTGTCTTAAGCAGCTAAACGTCTGTCCTCTCCACAGTGGCTCAGCCAGTGAGCTTCTGGGGGGTCAGCCCCCTGTCATCGTGCTGCAAGCGCTGAATTTTGGGGCTGGAGGAGGCTGAGTCTTTGTCCAGCTCTGCCAGCGGTCGGCGTCTCTTGGGAGCCCGCCTGGGGGTTGGCTTCTCTAATTCTGCCTTTGCTGGGATGGCCATGGGAGCATCCCCGTAGGCACGGTAGCCACCGACCAGGCAGTATGTTTCCCCGTGCCAACCCACCTGGCTTTCTCCACACCCTCGGTAGAGGACATGGTAGTGACCAGGTGTGGGAAGGTAGGTGGGAGCCACTGGTGCTGGGAAGAAAATCAGAACTGATCAGTTGTTTTTGCCTTACACGGTCCGCTGTCAAGACCTCCCTTTCTCACGTCTATCTGTTCCTGGCTGAAGCCCTCTTAATTGCAAAAGAAGTTCCATGGACCCTATGGCAGCAGGAGACTTGCAAATCCATTCCCCATTCCCAGAGAAAACAGCAGAACCTAAAAAATATTACAAGCAAGCCCCCTCCACCTCTCCGCTCCACAACCCAGGAAATACCTCTTGAGGCCTGCCACTCCTGTGGCATTAATGGAAATGGTTTCCGAGTTTGGGAAGAAAATCTAATATAAATTGGTTAAAAAGCACTCCCAAGGAGCCCTGGTAGTGCAGTGTTTAAGCACTTGACTGCTAACTGAGAGGTCAGTGGTTGGAACCCACTGGCTACTTCACGGGAGAAAGATGTGGCAGTCTGCTTTGGTAAAGATTTACAGCCTTGGGAATCCTGAGACAGTTCTACTCTGTCCCACAGGGTCGTTGTGAGTCTGAATTGACTTGGTAGCAATGAGTTTTTTTTTTTTTTTAAAGAACCCCTCCCACCTTGGCAGTTCCTCTTGGGCCCCATTCATATTACCTGTTTCAACCATACTAAACTCTAGCCTTCTGATACTTTTATCTAGATTAGAAAAAGGCAAAGGTACTGAGTGGCTCAGAGATCAGGGGTTCAGAGCCAGAGTCTGGGTGCCTCCTCACATCAGTCCCACCTTCTGGGACACTTTTCTCAGATCCCCAGCCTCAGTATCACTTCACCCCTTGGTTCTTCTGCTCTTCCCAGCTGGCACCACCATTTCCCAGAAGTCTCAGCATCTTGGTCTGAGGGGACCCCTGTGTATGTCTTGTGACATACACAGTGAAAGTGAAGGGTCTGCGGTGGAGCTTCCTGAGAGGCCCTCAATAGCTCCCCCTCAAGTGGCTGTGTGTATCCCTTGCCAACAAAACTTACTCAGCTTTTGTTGGGAGGCCAAGGGGAAGGCTAGCTTTATAAAGATTGGAACCTAACTTACCCAGGGATGATACCTCACTTGCTATCAACAGTGAGCAGGTACACTGGAGGGCCCTAAAGGGATCCCCAGCCATTGGTACTACCTGTGGGGAACTTCTGAGTTGTAGTGGGCAAGCCCGAAAGAAATGGCTGGTAGCCTGTTGAGGTTGTGTCTATAAAACGCCTAGGCCTACCTGATGTGCTGCCCTCCCAGGGGACAGAGGACATATTAGACTGAATATAGAAGATCCGGTCAGACATTCTCTCTCAAGCAACCACACTGACTGCTATCTCGTAGAGAACTGGCAGGAAAGTCTCCCCAAGGGCACGTTTGTACAGTTACCCTGCCATGGAAACTGAGAAGATCTGTGAGGTCATCACTACCCAGTGAGGTCACACAAGCATTCTATGGCTTAAGGGGGCAGGCTTCAGGCTCTCTGGGTTTTGTGGAGAGGAGCAGGGTAGAGGTAGGGAGGCACTCCGTCTGGGCTCCACACCTGGCCCTCTCCACCCATATCCTAGTCAAGGAGTCACTTCCTGCGGAGCCCACCTGTGGGGCTGACACAGCCAGTCACTGCAGGGGCGCCAGAGAAACCCAAACTCTGAGACTGCTGTTCTGGTTATGTAGTGCTTCTCTGACAAAAATATACCACAGATGGGATGGCCTTAACAAACAGGAGTTTATTATTACAATTTGGAGGCTTTAAGTCCAACTTCAAAGTGCCAGGCTCTAGGGGCTGGGTGAAAGCCCCTCAACCTTGGGGTCCAGCTCTGCCTCCTGCTCCCGGCCCACTGGAGCTAGAGGTGTTTCTTCACTCAGACAGCTGCTGGCTGCTGAGGCTGAGAAGCCCCAAGGTTGACAAGTAAAAAGGCACAGTCCCGACATTACCAAACCACACAGCAGGTCATTAACTTAAGTCCATTGTAAGTCCAAAGGTTGGCTGAGCATAGCAAGCTGCTGAGCAACGACCTGGCTACATGCAGGGTCCAAGCGTACCATACTCTAGACACCATTCCCAAGGCTTCTCCTTAAATATAGGGAGCAGACCACATCTCAAAGGCAGCTACTCAGCTGCTTGTGGTAGAGCCAACCATGGAGTTGTCTGCCAGTCTCATCATGGGGAATAACTACCACCAGTTGCTCAGCCACTCAACCAGGCTCAGCCAAGTTGACACACGAACATAACTACCACAACTGCCTTCAGAGGCAGGAGTGATCTAGAGCCAGCTAGGCTGTATGGCACTGACCAACAAGCACTCAACAGTTGGAGAGACACATTCTGATTTGTGTGGACACTGAGAGGAACGTTAAAGGTGCTCTAAGGCAGAATGAGGGTCTCAAACAAATTCAAAGAGTGGGAGTGACGGGGCCATTTTAACCTGACAGTTAAGACAAGTAATCTGACCGACCACCTTATCATTACATTCCCCTCCACTCACAAAGGCAAACAGTAACAACTAACTCCATCACCATGGAAGGATGAGATGGGAGCTGGGCATCAGTCCTGGTGAAAACTGGTCAACAGTGAGGAGGTGCTACTGAGACAGCAGCAAACAGACAACTGTGCTCTCAGCCTGATCAGGCTCACACAAGGGGACTGCATTTAAGGCAGCCTTTGGCTCAGTGTGGCCAAGAACTTTCTGGTAATGAGTGATCCAGAGATGGAACAGCCTTCCTCAGGGGGCAGTTCTGTTGCTGGTCTTGAGTGAACAGAGATGGAATATTTGCTGACTGGGGTTGTAGCATAGAGGATGTGCCCAGGGGGCAGAGGCTGTCTGGACTATCTTGGAAGTTGGGCAAGCCTGGTTGAGAACCACAGCATCTTCTCTCTATCCCTAAGTTCCCTGAATTCGTGTGGTACATGTTGGGACAGAGAGAAGTCAGGCTTATTTAGAACAGGCTATCGGTGGGGAGTGGCAGAGGGAATGTGAAGGGGACGGTTCCTGGAAGGTTGGACCTGGCAGATAGTCCAGCATGACACCGCCGATTCTCTATGGCTCTGGAGAGTTGTCTGGGGCATCCCTCTGACCTGATGGGATACTGATACCTCACTAGGACCTGGGTGGAATGTTGGGGAAGGTTGCATAGCATGGACAAATAGTTTATCTACTTAAAAGGGCCTGAGAATTAGCTGGGAAGCTGGCAAAAATGTGGATTCTTGGGTCAGTGTTCATAGACCTTAATTTGATCTGGAGTCAGACCCAGGAATCTGCATTTAACAAACTGTGGACCTGGGTAGTTCTGCTACAGTGGTCCTTACATTGTTGTTGTTGTTGTTGTGTGCCGTCGAGTCGGCCCCGACTCATAGCAACCCCTCCTTGGGTTTCCGAGGCAGTATCACTACGGAAGTAGGATTGCCCAACCTTCCTTCCGAGGAGTGGCTCGTGGGTTTGAACCGCCAGCCTTCTGGTTAGCAGTCAAGTGCTTTAGCCCCTATGCTACCAGAGCTCCTGGTCCTTACATAGAGTCACCAAATTATTCACTGTCTAAATTAGGGTGCTTTTGAGAGTCAAAGTGGGCAATAATAAAAACTATATACATACACACACGAAACTCACATAGCGACCCTCCTTGGGTTTCCTAGGTGGTATCTCTACAGTAGATTGCCCAGTCTTCCTTCCGAGGAGTAGCTGGTGGGTCTGAACTGCCAGCCTCCTGGTTAGCAGTCCAGCCCAGCTGACAGCTTGACTTCAACCCTGAGAGTCTTTGAGTAGAGGCCCCAGTTGAGCCATTCATGCTTAGACTTTGGACCCACAGCAATGCACCACTGCAAGCCAACAAACTAATAGTTTTTTTTTTTTTTTTAATTTTGCAGTATTCTCTCCCCTCCCCTGCCACCCCTGGTAATGAACAAAGAAAGTTTCCTTCCATATATAAACCTTTCCTTTTTACAAAAAATACAGTATTTGTCCTTCTGTGATTAACTTATTTCATTCAGCCTAATGTCCTCAAGTTCATCCACATTTGTGGAGTTTTGTGGATTCTACATTATTCATTAGTGTTGCATAGTATGCCATTGTGTGTCTGTATCTTGGTTATCCATTCTTTTGTTGATGGGCACCTAGGTTGTTTCCATCTTTTTGCTCTTGTAAACAGTGCTCTGATGAACATGGGTGTGCATATATGATTGTACATTTTGATAAAGGTTGCTATGGGCCCATTTCTGTTGTGTGTGACTCTGTCCTTTTACAGTGTGCATTTTTAAATTGTTCTGTGGGATATTTTATTTGATTGTTCTTTACTTCAGTTTATATAATGCTACAAAGACTGGATTCTAAGAGCTAATGAGAAGATGCTATGTGCTTATTTTATCAGTTTCATAAAACAGTTTAATCCTTCCCCTTCTTTGTCAATGAGACATGGCAGAGAGTGTAGAACCTGGAAATATACAGCAGGCAATACTTCTGTGTCAGGCTACCTTTGATTTTTCTGGCAGTACTTACTAGCGAGATCCCACTGAGTAGACAAGCTTGCCTTGGGCTTTTTTTTTTTTTTTTAATTGTGATTTGGGTGGAAGTTTACAGAGCAAATTCACTTTCCATACAGCAGTTCACATACACTGTGTCTCATGACATTGACTACAATTTACCACAATGCAACGACTTCCCTCCCTCTTTCCTGTGTCCATCCCTCCATGCACTCCTGTCCCCTGAGCTGTCTCCCTGTGCATACACAGCCTTCTTTTTCCCATGATTGTTCTCTCCAAGTAGTGTATCTACCTCAGGTAAATGTTCACCCCATATGCCTGTCTTTTGTTTGGTTGGAAGCCACAGGTGTGGGTTCACCTGAAGGGCACCTAGGGACCACAGTCTCAGTGGTTCCACCAGGCTCTATCAGACCAGCAAACCTGGTCCGCCTTGGGCATTGCTGATGAAGAAAAACTCCTCCTCCACGACTAGTTACATCCTCTCTACCCTTCTCTTGGGAGCATTTTATTGTTTTTTTAAATTTTGTGGTGAAATTTATAACATTTTAATCACTTTCATATGTACAATTCAATGACACTAATTACATCCACCATGTTGTACTACTATCACCACTTTCCATTTCCAAATGATTTTCATTTTCCTAAAGGTAAACTCACTGGTAGCATAGTGCCTAAGGCATTTGACTGCTAACCAGAAAGCTGGAGGTTCAAACACACCAGCCACTCCTCGGAAGGAAGATGGGGTAATCTACTTGCGTAGTGATACTGTCTGGGCAACCCAAGGAGAGGTCGCTACAAGTCGGGTCCGACTCGACAGCACATTAACAACAACAAAGGCAAACTCAATACTCCTTAAGTAATAACTTCCCACTTCCCCTTAGCCCCTGCTAACCACTAATAAATGTTTGTCTCTATGTGTTTGCTTATTCTAGAAATTCTAATGAATACTTTTTGGAAGCAAAAAGATCAGACCTAAATAGTTACAAATTAAAACATCAACTGAAAGAGCCTTTATCCTACATGTAATTTGGGGTCTGATTCATCTCAAACTCCACTAAATTCTGCCTCAATGGTAATTAGTATTAGAGGAGACCCATAAATTATTATTTACAACATCATGTATTGGTAGAAATCATGACAAGATACAAAGCCAAATGCTACTTTATTTTTCACGTGTAATGTGCAAGACTAGAGAGCCAAGCTCAGCAGCTCAGCCTCACTGCTGGCCAGCAGCTTACCTTTCCAAACCAGACAGCAGCTCATCAGGCCCTTAGGGAGGTGACAGCATTGCCAAATTCCTTCTACCAACAAGTGTGTTCACCACCCAGGCCACTGGGAGAAGGACCCTTGTTCTGGTATCGCATTTAAGTCAGCCAAAATCAGGCTTGCTGGGGCAAAGGTTTTCTCATCGAAGACTCTAGTCCTGGAAGGCTTCTCCGCCGGCGAGCTGCCAGCTCAATTTTCTGAACCAGGCTCACATCCCATGGGTGGGTTACAAAGCTGATGACAGTGCCTGCCACCTCACTCCCCACACGGCCCACCCTCCCTGCTCTGTGGATGTAGTCTTGCAGGGTGAGGGGGAAATCATAATTAACAACCAGCTCCACATGTGTGCTGTCCAGGCCCCGAGAGGCTATGTCTGTGCAGAGAAGTATGTCTTGGGAGCCCTTCTGGAAGCACCGGAAGATGCCTGCCCTCATCGAGGCTGGCATTTGCCCCTGTAGCCGTAAGTGTTTGATTTTGTGGTCATCCAGAATATATCCCAGCCAGTTCACAGTGGTGGAGCTGTTACAGAAGACCAAGATTGTTCCTGAGGGGCCAGTCCTATTTGCTCTACTATGCTGCTTGAGGATCTGCACCAACTCAGTTACTTTCTCTGCTCCTTTAAGCCTCATAAATGTCTGTTTGACATGAGGCATGATGCAGTGGAGCTTGGAGCTGGTAATGGTGGTGAGAGAGTCTGTGCTGGTGACTTTACTCAGCAGCTGGCCCACACCTTCAGGAAATGTAGCCCCCACCAGCGCCAGCTGAGCTTTGGGATTGAAGGGATCTTCTAAGTCGGCTGGGCTCTCTGCTATGTGGCTCTTCGCCAAAATGTAGTCCACCAGTTCCAGGAAGCTTTCATCCAGCAGTGTGTCTGCCTCATCCAATACCAAGAAGGAAAGCTGCTGCAGGCTGATCAGTTGACTTTTCAAGGCCTTCCACAGAGCCCCTGGAGTGGCCACTAGTACATCTCCTGGAGGTTGTTTCGACAGCTGCAGCCTGATCTTACTCATGCCATGGCCTCCCCCTAACTCCCGCACCTGCAAGCCCAACGAACTACCCAGCGGCTGGCCCACGTCTCTTACTTGTTCGGCCAATTCTCGCGAAGGCACGAGGACTAGGCCCCGGGGAGCGGGCATACGATGGGAGTTCAGGCTGGGCCGGGCCAAGAGCCGTTGAAACAGCGGTAGGAGATAGCTGAGAGTCTTGCCACTGCCAGTTTCCGCAGCGCAAAGGATGTGGCGGCCGCGAACAAGCGGTGGGATGGTGCTCACCTGCACGGTCGTGGGGCGAATGATTTCGGGCGCAGATTCCTGCAGGGCGCGCAGCACCCGCGGCTCCAGGCCTAAGTGCGCGAAGCTGCTCTCGGATGAGAGGTTCCGCAGCGCCGGCGCCTCATGTTGCGCGCGCTCGATGGAGAAGTGGTCCCCGCGTGCGCGCCGACTCTTCCAGCCGCGAGAGGCCAGCGGCGCGAGCTCCCAACGACCCAGCGTGAGGCGCGCCGGTTGGCTCAACTCCGGTCGCCGCGCGGAGATCAGCAGCGGACCGGGTCGCGCCAGCACCGGCTGCAGAGGATTTCGCCCTCTCTGCCGCTGTTCATGCCGCCGCTGTAGAGCCCGGGGAATGCGCACCACCGGCAGGGGCTCGTCGGGACCGCGGACCACCAGGCCCCGTCTGGGCGCCAAGAGTAACCGAGCCATGAATGAGAACAGTCGAGCCTGCCGCGCAAGAGCCATCTTTCATTCGGTGAAGGAGCGGCGCACGACGATGGCGTCACGGGAGCGCCGCAGTCGTTTGTACGGTGGCCAGCACAATAAAGCAGGAGGAACTGGCGAAACGTGGGAAGGGACGAGCTGCTTGGAGTTCAGTTGTGGCGAGGTGTGTTGGTCTGAATAGGGGATGGTGACATCCAAGAACGGGCGGACCTTGGGGATGGGTGCACAATGGAAGCAAGACTGGGGGCTGGCGACATGAGGCCATGGTGGGGCCCGAGCCTTATTGGACAAGCATTGGGGGTGGAGGGCTTTTGGATATCAGGTGCCTGGTTGCTGCGATTCTCCTTTATCGCCCTCATCGCCCCTGTGAGCGTGCTCAGTGCCAGCCTCCTCCTGTAAACTTTGACGTGGAGACGTTGTATCACCAGCTGTGGTCTCCGCGCAACGTCTGGTGATAAATGGTGATCGAGAATCTGAATGAATGGTTAGGCCTGGGAAGTGCTGGGAGTAGCAAACATAGGCTCAAACTCTATCTCCCAGGACCGGAGAGTTCAGAGAACAAGTGGGAAGGAAGGTCAGCACTTTATTTCAAGTGGACCCAACGCTTACTCTCCTTATTTTCCAACCGATTTTCACTCTCCACTCCTCTGTCACCCCTCATGATTTCTTACCCTGAGCCCAGCATTCTTGAGGCCACCCTCACCTGCACTGGCTTCTGAGTCAGATGTCTAAGTTGCTTGAATAGTAAAGGAGGGTCCTACTCCTATACTTAGCCATCAGCCAATTGGTATGTGGCTTGTCTCACATAGCCTTGGTCAGGCCGAATATTTTACTTGAATATTCAGATGTAAAGATTTGAAAAAAAGATAAATGACTTTTGGTTTTTTAATAAAATAAAAACAAAAACTACTACATTTATTATTCTTGAAGAAACGGATCAGGAAAATGGATGTTAGATCTTTTCTGTAGTTCCCAGTGCCTGGAGTGGGAGATATGGTAAATGTTTGTGAATTGACCAGTGGGAGGTTCTTTTTTAAAATTTTTTTATTGTGATTTGGGTGAAATTTTACAAAGCAGATTCGTTTTACATTCAACAGTTCATACACATTTTTTAAAAGCATTTTATTGAAATATAATTTATGTACAGTGAAATACACAAACCTAAATTGACATGAATCAATGCTTTTTTTTTTTTTTTTTTTTTTGCAGTGTTTGCTTCCCTCCCTTCTCACCTCTGGCAACCTACAAAGAAAGTTTTCCCTCCATATATAAACCTTTCCTTGACCCTCCACAACAATTAACTAATACTATATTTGTCCTTCTGTGATTGGCTTATTTCACTCAGCATAATGTCCTCCAAGTTCATCCATGTTATGTGGTGTTTTGCAGACTCTGTATTTTTATTATTATTATTGTGATTTGGGTGAAAATTTAACAGAGCAAATTCACTTTTCATACAGCAGTTCACATACACTTTGTCTTATGACATTGACTACAGTTTACCAAATGCAACAGCTCCCCTTCCACTTCCTCCGGATAGTTACCTCTTCCCTATGTCCATCCCTCCATGTATTCCTGCCCCCTGAGCTGTCTCCCTGTGCATAAACAGCCCTTCTTTCTCCCATGATTGGTCTCTCTAAGGAGTATATCTACCTCAGGTAAATGTTCAGCTCATACGCCTGTCTTTTGTTTGGCTGGAAGCCACAGGTGTGGGTTCAATTCCAGACCTGAAGGGCACCTAGGGACCATAGTCTCAGTGGTTCCACCAAGCTCTGTCAGACCAGCAAACCTGCTCTCCTTTTTTTTCCCCCCAAATGCTTTTGAGTTTTGTTCCACATTGTTTTGCCTCTGTATCCAGGGTCTCCTACATAGTCCCCCTCTGAGTGGTTGGCAGTGGTAGCTAGGCACCATCTAGTTCTTCTGGTCTCATAGTTGTATATAGGCTGCAGATAGCATGATGTACCAGTCATTAGGACTAATTCTTTCCATAAATCTTTGGTTTTCTTCCTTCTTCTTTGCTCTGGATGAAGAGAGACCCATCGTTGCATCTGGATGGCTGCTTGCAAGCTTTTAAAATCTGAGTCGCTACTCGCCAAAGTAGGAGGTGGAACAATGTTTTGTTAGTATGTTATGCCAATTGAGCTTGATGTCCCCTGTGGCTATGGTCCTGAGACCAGTGGGAGATTCTTAACATCTAAAGTCTAGAGGAAGTGTTATTGTTTCATCAAATACCATTAAAAATGCAAAAAAAAAAAAAAAAGAGTGAAAACTTTGGATACCATTTTGATACATGAGTAAGTAGACTTTCTGGAGAATCATCAGTTGAACCAGGGGAAGAGAGAGTTTTGAGGAGTGACAGGTGAACAGTCATTGGATAGAGCAGTGATTCTCAGGTGGGGTAATTTTGCCCCTTAGGGAACATTTGGCAATGGCTGGAGACAGTTTTAGTTGTCATATCTGGGGAGATGCTACTGACATCTAGTGGATAGAGGTCAGAGATGCTACTAAGCATGTTACAGTGCACAGGACAACTTCCACAACAAAGAATTATGAGGTCCAAAATATCAGCTGTGCAGTTTTGAGAAACCTTGAATTAGAAGATTAGGAAGAAGGCTGAGATTAGCCTCATGTGCTATCACTTCAGGTGGACACATTTGTCAAACTCTTGTTCTGGCCCTGCCCACTCCAGAACTGTAGCAGGCACCCTAATGCCATGTTTGTTTGTCATATCTTTGGAATCAGGAGTCTTGGAGCCCCATGAAATCATACACGTGGGGAAAGAGTGGTTCAAGAGGGTGAAAATGGAGAAGAGAAGTTACGGAGAATGAAGTTGTTCTCGTGAGTTTGAGGAACATGTCATGTGGAAGAGAGATGAGCTGTCCCATGGGGTGCATCATTCCAGGAGGCAGAACTGGGACCCATGCGTGACAGGGAGGCAGATTCTGAAATTGAAATAAAGAACTGCTCTAGCAACTAGAATTGGCCAGAGCTGTCTTGAGAGTTCTGAGTTTCCTGTCACTGAAAGATTCATATACAGCCTGGTGACCACTGGTTGGTAATATGATAGAGGGGAGTTGACCTAACGGATACCCCAAGATTTTGTGATTTCTGAGATTTTAGGTCTCTGTGTTCCCTAGCTTGGATGTCTGACCCAACAGGTTTCATCCATTTCCATGTGCCACAGTCTTTCAGATATAAAACAAAGAATTGTTTCCCACTAAGCCAGTATGAGTACATTGAAGGAGTTATCAGAAAAGAGTAATACATAGGTATGTATTTGTACTTGTGTTTTGTCCAAGGTAACTGTTTAGGGCTGCTTTCTCATCATACTGGTGTCCTTCCAATATGATTATCTCAGAATAGGGTCCCCGGAGGCTATGGCTCTTAGATACCCTTCAGGCCTGAAACCAAACTCACCCCTGTGGCTCAACTTTTAGCCCAACAATAGGCCCATAAGGTGAACATTGGAGAGAGAAACACTTCTTAGCACAATCAACAGTACAAGATCTGAAGGGCAGCATTTGCCCAGGAATCAAACTCAAAAGTCAGGAAGAGATGGGAAGGAAGTATGAATGAAAGTGGAGAACACAGGAAGTGGGAAGAGTGCTGTTACCTTGTGGGCATTGCAATCAATAGCACAACAAAATGTGTATAAATTGTTGAATGGAAACAAATTTGCTCTGTAAACTTCCACCTAAATCACAATTAAAAAAAGGAAGAAAAAAAAAAATTTTTATAGGTGTTAGAATATACTTGAGCCTGTCCCTGCCAGTGGCCCCTTATTTCTTCTGTCATTTCATCAGCTGCTACGTAAGGCATCAGAATATCTCTTTTTCTTCTGACCATAATAGACAGTAAATTACTTCTAACTGGTTATTGATAAACATGTGTTAAAGTGTAGTGTTTTAGAAATAGGAAAGATTAACATATTGTTGGAAAAAAAAAAGGGGTGTGTGTGTTAAGCTCTTGGGGACAGTGGCTTAACTTGGAGTATTTTTCCCAGAACTGCCGTAACTCATGTTGCCTAGTTGTTCCATAAACTTTAAGTAGTATTGTTAGTCCTTGGGTAGAGCAAATGGTTAAGTGCTAGATTATGAAATAGTGTTATTGTTCCTTGGATCTCAGCTGATAATGGTACGGAGTTATTCATTCATTCATAGTAGGTATTTGTACTTGTGTTTCAAATGTATTCAACAAGTATTTACTGAGTACCGTGTATGTACCAGACATTGTTCAAACAGAGAGTGAGCAAAACAGACAAAATCCCTCCCCCCATGGAATTTACACTCTGATTTAATTGGTTGGGGTAAGACCTGGACATTGGTATTTTTAAAAACCCCTCCAGATGATTGTAATGTGCAGTCAGGTTTGAGAACCACAGTTATAAATGAAGCACTTTGGGAATTGTAAGGCCTTGCAAAAGTAAAAAGTGGCTATCCGTACTCTCTGACTCTCTCTGTTTTCTTGCTTGCATCAAGACCATTACACAAGTGCTGGCCGTTCTCATTTGTAACATTCTCCTGCACTACCTTGGTCTCAACCCTTATATGCCTCAGCCCTTTCACCATCATTCTAAGCCGACTCCGTACCTCCTTCCTGCTTCTCACCCTTTAGCCCATCATCTGTTGCCTGAGTGATCTTGCTAAAACACAATCAAGGCCCTGTCACCTCTTGTCTCAAAAGCCATCAATGGGTCCCCATTGCCTTACAGACTGTCTCCTAATCATTGTCCAGAATCTGGCCTCAACTTCCTCCCCTGCTGCTTCCTTACCTGAATCTTATCCATGCAGGTGGTGGCTCCCATGCAAGTTGAATGAAGAGCTTGTAGTCCTTTATTGGGCAAGCAAGGAAGTTGAGTAGTAATTTTTCTGCTCTATAGCTAAACCTGAGGAATGGCTGTTTAATGTAGTTTGAGATAGAGGTCTTCTGTGGTTGAAGCACGAACTGTATTGTAGCTCTCATTGTCATTTGGCCTTTTAATTTTTTTTTATAACAAACGCTAAGCCCCAACCTTACACCAG